TGTGTGTGTGTATGTGTGTGTGTATTGTGTATTGGTGTGGTGTATGTGTTGTTGTGCATTGTGTGTGTGCATGTGTGTGTGTTGTGTGTGGTGCATGTACGTGTGTATGTGTGGGTGTGTGTGTATGTGTGTGGTCCTGTGGTATGTTGTGTTGTGTGTGTTGTGTGTATGTGCGTCCATACTTAAGTACCTACCTAAGTACAGTAAAATAAGAACAACACACTGTTGGATAATGTCAAAATATATGTGTATGTACATGCTTGTATAATGTAATGTACGTGTAAGTGCGTTTTGGGTTTGCCAAAAAATGTTCTTTTTTCTTTTTTTTTTTTTCTTCTCTCTTCTTTTTTTAAAAATATTGAGTCTTTATCACAAGTGCCCTCACTGGTCACATTTATTTTAGTGAAGCAATGGCTCAGTGGTCACTGATCATTTACAAACAAAATAAGTGTTCCCGTTCATTGATACATTTATTCCTAATGTTTTTCAGTCCTTTGTTTTTCTTCATAAGAAGCCATATTTCCGGAAGCCCTGAGAGGCAAGAGAAAAAAAAAAAAAAAAAAAAAAAGAGGCAGGTCATTTGGGCTCTATTTTCTAAGTGAGAGAAAAAAATGTTCTCAAAAAAAAAAAAAAAAAAAAAATTTCTACATATTTTTTTCGACAATTCAGGAAATAGTGAAAACCTCACCTCTCTTAAAGTTGTAAATATAAACTGCAGCAGCTCATCCACATTATCCACAGAATTTGTCCTCAAAATAATGACCCCAGTGCACAAAACAATGCTGTGATTTGAATCGTTCCCTCATGTGTGTCTGTTTACATCCACACAGAACACAGATTGAGGTGAAGCTGCAGATTCGCCACAGTGACTCTACTTCCTGTTCAGCTCAGTCAGATCCTACGTCACCTTCCACTGGATGTGTGATGAGCTAACTGAGCGTCATGACCTACATTTAGATTGACAAATCCATATTTCCAGTTATTTTGGTGAGTAACTTAAAAGTAATGCAATAGTAGTGTAATGTCTTTAAAAACAGAAATATTGTAATGTAACAAATGACTTTGAAATGACAGTAACAAGTAATAAATAACGGATTGATTTTTTGAAGTAACTTGTCCAACACTGATGATGAGAGTAGTGGTGTGGTCACAGGGTAGTAGCCACGATGTCCTAAAGCCTCCCAGTATATTTCGCTAATGGTAAGTTTTTAATCATTTTGTACATGTAGGCTGATTTTTTTGTTTTTTTTTTCAAAAAAAAAATAAATTGCACTGCCTTTGGACTGAGGTGCGCCCTGACGCGCAGAGCGTTCTCATTGCGATGGGATTTGGAGAGAGAGAGAGAGAGAGAAGCTACGATCATCTACGTCTATGACGGACGCACCTCCGGGCCCCTCCCAACAGTCCTGGTTCAGTCCTGGTCCTTTCATGTCTGTTCGGGTCAGGGCGCACCTCAGTCCCGCTAAAAACCCGAGGCAGTGCGGCGTTCTGTCTTCCAGCCTGGAGCAGTTGATCCCCACTCTCGCTCTCACAGAATGACAGCGGATCAGTGATGCATCGATCTTACTTCTCATATTACTCATAAAAGAGA